ATAAGTAAAAATACTATTTCAGCTGTAGGAACTCAACCTTGTGTTCTTGGTGCATTGCCTTCATTTGTACACAATCACCAGTTTCGGTGGTTTTGCAGGCAGACCTGTTTGTGCAGTTAATTGTTTGGAATTCGTAAACAAGCTCTTTTGAGCGTACATCATAAGGTAAACTAAAGTTCCGTCTTTGCTGTGGTAAGTGTGTGGTGCGAAGTAAAAAGAGTTGTCACTAAAATCAGCTACTGTCCTGAATACGTGCAAGTTTCACATCTGAATGAGGAGCTGTCATCCAGCAGAGTCATGAACTTTGTAGAAGCTCATTTTGAGCTGTAAGTACAACTTCTGGTATGCACCAAGCAGCAAACAGTGCCTGAACGTTACACAACACCGGTGCAGCATAGAAATATATACTCAAGAAAAAGATGTTCAAGGTAAAGTAATGCTCATAGGTGAATCAGGATTGTGGATCCATAGAGCGTAAATTACTAAGCCTATAAAATACTTAATGGCCACCCATTGTCCGCTTATATTTCTTGTGCAAAAACTAACAGTAACCTCTCAAAATTATTTGTGTGTATACCGAGTTTAAAGTGTACGTGCTTATGTGCGAGACTCTAATCTACTTGCTACTGAGAGGGTGCTTGTGAATATAAATCTCATGTTCTGAAAAGATGAAACTGCAGGTATTATGCCTTAGCAAAAAGTCTGGAGTCTGAGGACAAGACAGTTCAACTGTCTCCAGAAATTAAGCAGTGAAGTGTGTATGTACGTGTGTATACATAATGTGTTTATTAACAGAAAAATAGGAATCTGATGTTCGTGGAAACCATTTTAAAAAAAAAAAATAAATCCCAACTTCTGTTTGATTTGCAATGTGAGCGTTGTAGGGAGAGAATGAAAAAGTTTCCAAAGGCTTTTAATGTGGCCTTCCGTCAATGACAGCTCTTATTTCTGTGTTTGCCGCTTCCGTTAGCGTTATGTAAGGAAGGTTAATAAAAGGGTATAAAAATGCGGTAAAGTTTCATCGACACTTTTACCAGAATGGTTGTGACATATGATATTGAAAAAAGTCACTTCTCAGCAAAACCTGTGTCTAGTACTCAGCCCTCAAGTAAAACTTCAGTTAAGATGTGTAAGCGCTGGATGCTTAATGCATGCGCCTTAACACTGGTGACTTCTTACTAGGCAAATTTGAGACGTGGTCAAAGAGTTGGCCAACTTGGTCATGTTCTTTAACAAAACAATTTGTTTAATGTGTACTGATTTTAGAGCTAAAATGTTTTATCTTTAGGAATCCTTGAATTTTTTTCATACGCATAAGCAACCTGAAGTCCAGTCTTGGATAATGCAGACCTTCTTTTTTGAATACCTGTAAGAGAAACGCTCATAAGACATTTGAAAAGCATTTTTGAATTTAAAAATGTGGTATTTATCTACTGCTAGTAGGCAAGACCTTGCTAAAACCTGTTTGAGATAATCCAGTTCATTGTAAGGAGAATTGAGTTAATCCTGAAGTTATTTTACACGCTAAGTCATTGAGCTCAGAGTAGAATTACTGTTTTTCCTCCCTGGTATAACAATGCTGAGCTTCTGTATGAAATAACAAACAAGTACCACCGATGTCATCATAATCTGAAGAACCTATTTTTGGCTGCAAAATAATCAGAATGCCGTGTGCTACAAAAGAAGCCGCTATCTCAAGTATCTGCAAGATTCACCGTTACAGCCGACCTGGGATAAAGTTCAGCTTCTATGCGTTGTAGAATTCAGCTTCTATGCGTTGTCGGCTGCATCTGAATTATATCAAATGAAGCGGTCTTTGTCCATGCCAATTAGACTCAGCATTACAAAACAAATTATTCTGCCATCCGCTTATCCAGTGCTTTATTTCCAATGCTTCTGTGCTAATGGATATATATTGGACCAAATATTTCTGGATCCTCTAAGGTTTTATCCAAGTTTGTTAAAACTGGTTTTCTGTGGTATCTATTGCAGCACAGTTCTTTTGCAAGCTTAGAAAAGTTTGTGAAGACTCTTTAGATGAGATCCTTTTTCTTGTCAAGGGTTAGGTCCATTACTGAATTTTGCCAGATGTCTTGAAAAAGAAGCCTACTCCCCCATGCCGTGTACGAGCACAAGTAAATTGACAAGTTTGTAGAACAGCATCCGCTAGGTCAGCTGAAAAACAATAGACTTTACAGACAGCTTGACGTAAGACCCGTACAGCTGAAAAGCAACGTGCTTTATTTTTCAGCACCTTTTTCACTGAACAAGAGAACGTCCAGCACAGTCACGGATAGGGACAGCGGGTATTACAAAAGAAAAGTTGCACTTTGAATGAGGTGGCATCTTCAGCTTTCGTCTCAGAGGAGCAGAGAGCACACGCGTAGGCGAGGAAGGCAGCAGAGACTCAGATCAGCAGGATCGTTTTTAGAGAACTTTGGCATGTTTGATGCTCAGCCATAGCAGGCCAACTGGATGTGGACTTGCTGGCCTTATGTCTCAGTCTGAACGAGCTGATCCACTTGAATGTGTAAATTCTAGCTCATTGTCATGTTCTTCTTTGGCCCAAAGAAAGATGACTCTCACAGTCATTTTATTCCTCGTATTATACTCTGTGTGGAGCAAGACACACCGAGTTCCCAGAGACCTAACCGTGTAGAGAGCTAGCTGCGGTTCTCAGCTGCTTGCAAGAACTTGGGTTTTCTACTGAGCTCAGAGAGAAGGAAGAGCAAGTTCTTCACCTGGACGTGAAACACGTTCCTTAATTCCTGGATGACTGATGGGGTAAAAACCCAACCAAACAAAACCCCCTCTGATAACTAAGTTCTGCAGTTGTTTTCCATGTAGTGACCCTATAACTAAACTGGAGACATTTTTCATGCTTGGGAAGGAACCGAAGGCTATTTTAGCTTCTACTGGAATTTTATGCTTATTTTCATTGACACCTTTATAAATACAAGAGCTGTACTTGCTGTAGATAATATGTCCTAAAAAGCTGTCACTGCTGTCATTACACATTGCAAAACAGAATTTAAAGACTGGATTTTGCAGTTTGACCTAAGAGTTCTGGATATCCTCCACCTCCTGAAAATGCAATTCAAGTGCCATATTCTGTTTTAAAAATCCTAGCCCCAAAGGAGATTTCCAGATTGCGATATGGAAGTGATGCTCTTTGTTTCAGCTAATGAAAGCTGTGTGATACACACATTTTTCTTCCTCCATCGTCTTACCAAGCCGTTAAAAATTTATTCAACATAAGGGCTCTGATGTAAACACTCATTTTGAACTTAAGTAGTGGTGAAAAATGGCCGAAAGCGCCTAATTTTTTTTTTAAACCCATTTCTACTTTGTGCTTGCCTCGCTTCTCACTAGATTGATTTCCTTAACTAGATCTTGAGAAGAACTTTGTCGATATACTTTTGACGATTCAAATAGAGTCTAGAATGACACAGGCCACAGATGTGCCATTTTATTCCTCTCATGAAATATTTAATGCTTTTGTAAGTAGTAATTTTAAGTAGTTCAGCTGCTATGAAAGTTTATTGGTCTACAATTACCCGCAGACACATTTCTTTTAAGATGGGTGTAAAATACTAATTGCAAACGCCTGTGCGCTTGTTCTTAGCAGCAGCGAAGCCAATTCATTCTCGAGCTTTCCCGGGCTGCTGCTCCCTGCTGACTTGTCGATCTCTATCGCTGCGTTCCAGTCCCCCACTTGTCAGCTCAGTCTGTAACTGTCATCTTGAGTACTTGAAGAAACCAGACCTGGGCAGGAATCCTCTGTTTGATGAAGATCAGTGAAAATAAATCTTTCTCTACGGTATCATTACTTGTTCCTTTATTTACGTAACAATGTACTGGCTCAAGCCAAAGATTCACGTAGCCCGGGATCCCGTCTCGCATCGTATACACCTAGTGCCGGGGCAATCCTGTACTGATACTTCCCTCAATAATAACGGGTACTAACAGCTATAGTAAAACCTTTTTGTTCCTGATTGGGCTGTGATTCAGAAAAATGAAAATAGCAAAGTAAAAGCTTTTTGTCTACCTTTCAAGAGAGCATACTCTGATGCGTCAGAATTAAGAGACGGTCCGGCAATTTTAGAGAATTTTTTGACTCAGCTTGTCTCCTTTCTTTTTTTTCCCCAAAGATACAAGAGGTTTCAAGTTGCAAAACTTGAAATAATGCTTGAGATATCAGCAGTATTCTGCTCAAATTAGAATTCCTACTTGTTCAAAATCTGTGTAGCTTAAACAGGCACAAGTTACTTTTAAATTATCTGTGTTGCTTTTTATTTTAGATGTTCCTTCTTCCTTCATGTGTTTCAGCGCCTGTCACATTAGCAAATGAGTATACAGAATGGAACTTTGTTGCATGAAAGCACTTAAGAAGGGACCGTTGTTTTCATATCAATGAGCTTTTCTTTGTATAGAATTAGTACAAAGAGGCTTCCTGGTAATGCTGACCAACAGGAAACTCAACAAATCTTTAAATCTTGTGAAAATAGTCACAAACCTTGGTTTTGTCTGGCTGATGCTGGAAATGAAGAATTTCGGAGACTAACTTGTCAGTCTTGGCTTTGTAAACTGGTCTGGTGACCTACAACAGTTTAAAAAAAGAAAAAGAAAAACAAAACACTAGATTAATTATTTCACTACATCACAAAAAGCACTGGGATAGGATGGACCACCAAAGCCGCGCAAGAGAGCTGTAAGAAAAGCAGTTCTACAATCCTGTTAGGAAACCTACACAGCAGTAGGTGTGGAAAGCAAATAAATGAATTAGTCTTTTTAGTTCTGAAATTGCCAAGCAAGAGATCAGAATCAAACTTGGTTTAGTTGTAGAGTTAATACATGAAGATGGACCTGTTATTTGAGGTGGGGCCGTTTGTTGAGGGGTAAGAAAAGCATTTCCATGCATTTTACCTCCACGCTGAATTGTGTGTTCAAGTTCATGCAGTGCTTCGTGGTCAGCGATCTCTGAGGAACCGACACAAGCACTTACACTACACGCCGTATGGCAAAAGCTAGTTATGGGTACATCGTGTTCAAAAGCAGGATTAATCCTTACAGCATTTTCTGAATTGCAGCTGTTGAGAGTAGAACTTCTACAATGCAGAACATTTTTGTTTAGGTAAGATTTTAAATTGCAAAAGAAAAAAGGAATATTTTGAAATGTGAAGAAAAAGATCGTGAGCAGCTTACTGCAAATTAGAGTTTCTTTTGCTTTCTCTTCTTAACTTAATAATTAAAATGATGAAAAGAAAAACAAGGCTTAGTAAGCCAAGAATGAGAGGTTTAAAAATGAAGGGTTGTATGGGTTCTGGAGCAAATTTTGCACAGCGCTGTCCTTGGTAAAGCTCGTGTCTACGTGCAGGACATCTAAAACAGGGAGAGGAAGAGAAAAATATACAGAACTTGAAGGCAGAAGATACAGAGTACCTCAAATGAAAACAAAGGAAAACCTGCAATTACATATAAACACCGTATTCCCAACACAATTACTTGTTATGTGTCCGTATGAAATAATGTGATGGATAATAGAGGAAAGAAAATATTCTTAGATTCGTGAGAGTGAGCGTTAAACAAAAAGACACTGATACATTCTTTGCCAACCTACAAATTTTAAGGAAATTATGCACTTGGAACATCTCTGACAAATTTCTAGCCCCACAGGTGAAGTTGAAATAACATTTGCGGTTTAGAACCTTAGAAGTTCCGGTGTGTTTTGGAGTAATGTCTGAACACTTCTTTGAAGCCTTTATGCTGTTTATTGGTAATTTTAATCTGAGTAGCAAGGTCTGAAACAAGAGTTCTACTACAAATGGCTCCCTTTGAAAGCAAGGGAGAAGATTGCCATATTTTATATGAGAACGCAGGGCGCTCAGTCAGTGGAAGAACCAGCCTGGTTCTGAGTAAATTCACAAGCAAAACAAGTGCTTAACTAAAGCAAACGATAGGCCATAATTTTCTCTCTGCAGACTGTACAAGTTTGCACAAGCTGTCAGTCTGAGACTGGCGGTAAGTTTGTTTGTAACTTGCTAGAATTCACGAAAAGTCTCATTTATTACTTTTAATACTTTCATCATTCCAAATGATGGTTTGGTCACCACTGTACATCAGGTCAGGGGTTTTTCTGAAATGGGAAGGTTATTTTCCTTAGTGCGTTGGTCTTGGAGGAGTAGGCTATACCCTTTGCTACTGGAGTAAAGTTTTGAAGAGGACCTCTTTAGCTCACAGGCTGATTCCTAGTACAGAATACTGCAGCTGCACTACTGTGACTCCGCAAGTCAGGAATTTAGCAGTAACTGTGGTGAATTCAATATAATCTTCTGTTATCATTTCTGGGACGCCCACTGCAGAAAATGAACTACGGCAGTTATGTTGTTACAGTGAAATTATCTCATGAATAATTTGCTCAGTAGTCTTGTTTTTTGACGTTAATCCTAAATACACTAAAAGATGTACCGTTAACCTAGCAAAGTCAATATTAAGGGAGAATAAACAAGTGCAAGAACTGTAACTTGTCTCTTGCTTATACACGTGGCTGGTCAGCTACCGTGTGCCCGTCTGGTACACAGAGTTTCACATAATGCTCTGCATAGTCTAGTCTTGCAATGAGATGAAACCTGATACTTTTTTTAAAAGAGAATTGATGTGGTCAAGTACTGTGCTAGTTCTCAATATTGACTTAACATCATTTCGTGTAAAAATCCTTGTGGGATGTGTTTGCAGTTACGTGGAGCTGCTAATCTTCAAGTCTTTCCCAGAAAGCCCTGAAAGCAGCTTCAGCCTTCACGTGCTTTATTGGGTGGTCTGGAATCAGAATAGTGTTCATAGGTGTGTTTATAAGAATACAGATTTCCTTTTTAATACAACTCAGAAAACATTAATGTCTTAAAATACCACTATGTAACCAATAGCAAAAAGGTGAACGTGTTATTTCATTTTTCCGAGATGTATTTGTAAATCTGAAAAGAATGCGTGGTTTCGTACTTGTCATCTCTGCTAATGATGCTGAATTTGTAATAAATTTCTAAAGCATCTCTAAAAAAATAACTCGATCATGACGTTCTGTGTGTACCAACAGGCAGAAATGGATTTGTCCATAGCGAGACTATTTATACTGAAGAAGGGCATTGCAATATAGCTTAAAGTCTCTGAACGTGGAGGTCTTGGCCTATCAGCATAGTTTATGCTGTTGAAGAGTATATACTCAGCCCTGCTTGTTCACGCAATAGACACGTCAGGGGTCCGTTAACAGAATTCATGTTAAGCACCACTTATTTACCTGCAGACAGCTCCTCTTCCTGGAACCAACTCGCATTTCCCACCATTGACGCAAAGATGGGGTTCCAACTCACACAGGCTCTGACAGGGCAGTCCGTCTTGGCTTGCGTAACCAGGTTTACAAAGGCAGTCAGCCTCTTTTGTCCACTCGTTCATTATGCATTTGGAAAACTCGTCACACGCCATGAATTTGCATGGGTCTGCCTGATCAGCTGTAAAGGATGGGTAAATCATTAATTGATGCATTACCCCAAAGTAACTTGGCAGGCTTTGTGGCAGCTAGAGAAAACAATGCGTGTTTACTGGCCTGGTACTTGTGGGTGTTAATAGGAGGATAGAGTCTAGCATAAAAGGACACACATCTCTCTCTGTAGATGACACAGCAAGCATGCAAGCTTCTATTTACTTGTACATTTGTTTACCCCATCACTGCAATTTCATTTTCATCATCTCACTGACAAGGATTTTCACATTTGGATATTTTTATCCTTTTTTTACTCTAAGTACTAGTTTTATACTCATGGATACTATGCGACAGCCTTGCATATGTGTAAGAAAGAGTTTTGACTATAATCACCGTTTAGGACACGTCAAGGGGAGGGAATTAGATTACTGAATGTTGCACAATACTATGAGGACTGCAACCCAGAAATACTGGCACCGTCCACAGAAAATATGTGCTTGCAGAGCTTTTTTGGAAGTGATATGTTAGCATTGGGAAAACTTGCTTTTTTTTTTTTTTTAATATTAGTAAGGGATGCCTCTGTGAGATTAAGGGAAAATGAGTCTGCTGATGTTCATAGGAAGGCCCAAATCAGAGACAGCTTAAAGTCCTAACCTCACCTGTCAGACAAGTCTACTCCTCCTTTCCCGTTCTCTGCTTCAAACTAGAAATGGAAAAAAGACCCAGAAGGAGTCATTTTAACCCAGTGCTCAGCCCAGCTGTGCGCTGATGGGGTGATAAGGAGGAGGGCTGCGTCCACCAATCCTGTCTCATGGAGGCGGCTTCCTGCGTACTGTGGGGTAGAGCCCTTGGACAGAAGGCAAAAGATGAGAAGCAGACCAGGGGGTACAAATTCTGTTCTTGCCAGCAAACAGTTTCAATCAGATGTGTGAATCCAGAAAGGTGAGGGGAAAAAAAAAGTGTACAAAGACAAGAAAGGAGAGCACAGAGAAGGACATGAGAGCAGATACACGGATGTGAGCTGGGCTGCACAGGACAGTGGGTCCTGAGTGACCGGACCTGTTCAGAGCAAGTTTGCAGATGTAGTCTTAGCTGTAGAAAGGAACTTGGTCTCAGGTCTGGTCTATAGAAATCAAAATCACCTAATACATCAGTGCGGAAGCAAAGAGTCCCTTTTTAGTTATGTGGGCTTAAAATTTCTAAGAAGAAAACTCTGTAGTTTAAGAAGAAGATTCGTACTGGATATTGCAGCTAGTACCTGTAGGTACTATCTGAGCTGAGAATTTTCTTCTGGAGCCACTTCATGGCCGTAGATGCTCCGTAATACTAATTTCAGTGACAAATGAGCATCGCATTCCAGTAGCACTGGAAATCTCAGACACACTCTAAGATATGGTTAACTGGTAGAAATTAATGCAGCAGAGCTGTTCACTTTTAACCCCTCTATAATTCCATGGCTAGTTCTTTTTTTTGAATTTAAGACTAGTGAGTTTTAGCATGCTCGATTTCCCTTTGCTATATACAATGTGCGTGTTAATTTGGGATCTACTTTGCTGCTGGCCTGTAAATGTATGTACATATGAACTCTAACAACTCGGCATCAAAGTAATGCAATAAATTACAAGGTAACTTTATTGTCAGGCAAACCCTTGCTTATATGTAAAAAAAAAAAATAAAATTATGTATATATTCCAAGTACTTTGCTCTGGTCATTGTTACTACTGATTAGGAGTTACAAATTTTAGTCTCCAATGAAAGAAAAACAGTTGGCAAATCAAAAGGGGATATTAGTTCTTACAGATTCTTTTACTATCCCACACAGAATTGCACTCCAAGCAAAAACAAAACACTCCTGAGAGAAAAATGGTTAACAAAAGAGTTTGTATGATTGAGTAATTGATTGAAGCATTAACAGCTGCATTAGCTGCATGTCTCCTGTAAGTCTCTCCCCAGTTTTGATGGTCACAGTTTACCTTCATGCTCGTGGAAATGAAGGTTGGTACCGCTAGTGAGGAGACACAGGCTCTGCCTAAGCGTTACCCGGGGCTGTGTGCTACAGCCCTGCAGTTTTCAGAAGCTGAAAGGTCTCAGCGCGTTTCTGTTTGAGAAGTAGAGTTCGGGATGAGCGTTTTGCTGGGTTAGAGGGTCATTTTTTTGTGATAATGTTTCATTTTCCTTAATGCAGTGTTGGGCTACGTACCTGCCATACTTTGTCATCTTTTCTGTGTTTTCACTTTGTTTAGATTACAAAAAAAATGCATGCAGGTATTTTTATAAGCCTGCTATGTTATTCTGTATGGTATTATTTATGACCGATGCAGTCAGCCCTTTGCAGCTGCTGAGTCTAGGTATGTATTTTGGACTGTCAGTTCCCATCAGTGTTTCAATGTCGTATAACGTTATTACCACTAGATGGCTCCTACTTTCACAATAAATAGGAATTTGCTTAAATTACCTTAATTTACTGAACAGGTTGGGGTTTTTTTTCTTTGTTGTTTTTTTTCTGAAGTGAAAAGACAGTAGGGCTTTGAAACACCTGTGTGGGAGTATACTGGCGTTCTAAACATAATTTCTTCTATTTTGACATTTTACTACTGCTCATAAGCCTTGAAAGAACAGCTCTCTCCTCAAATTCATTGTGATATAGTTTTCTTGAATTAATGTTGAAATACCACATCAGTAAAGCAGCTGATATGGATGAAAATGAAAGATTTTAACAAATTTTCTGTATTTGCCTTTTAGCAACTTTTTCATTTTAATTTTTATTTAATGAAAATTTACTACTGAAGCAGAGAACATGCAGTAGCCCAAAGTTGACTCTTTCTAGTGAACTCATTTATTACTTTATTCAGCGAAGCATCAGTTTATCATGGTAGTATTTGAAAGTTTAAATACTGTGATTTTGTTAACTAACTTTACCACACACTACCCATTCGCTTAGTGGCCACAAGGAGGTACGTAAAATGAAAACAGATTAGAAACTGCCTCCATGAATTGTAAATGGATTTTTTCGTTCTGGAGTTGTCAGAGATCTGTATGCAAAAAGGCAGCTTAACCAAAACTGCTAAAGGCATCTGCATGCTAAGGTGTTGGTATCGTTCTTCTCCACGCCAATGAAATTAAATTCAGCCCTGAAATAACTACCGGAACCTGAAAACAGATCCAGGCTTCAATTTTATAAAAAAATATAGTTTTTGAAAACTTTAAGCTTCCGACATTGCAATAGTGTCCAGATATGTTGTTACTGACTTTCTACTCTTTAACAAAGACCACTGACTTATTTGAAAGGTATTAAATCAGGAGGGATTCTGGAGTTACAAATCTATGGAGTGCTATGTACAGTAATGCTCTGGTCAGTGAGTATCTGTAGAGAATCCAATTATTCCTAGAAATTACCTCCTTCTGTCTTGAAATCTGTAGCCCTTTAAAAAGAGGTTTAATGATGCTCTAAACTATGGCTTGCTTACAACATTGCAAAAATCGTCAGAAATAATGTTTACATACTCAGGTGCAAGATTTGCATAAGTCACTCCTGTAAACCACACATGAGCCTTTATACCTGTCTTCGCCCAGCCCTTATTCTAGAGAGTTTTTAGTTCCCTATATTCGGCTCTGAAAAGCAGTTGGTGTGCATGCACAGACCAACGCCTCCACCCAGCATTTCATTATAGTATGAAAATATGTCTGCAGATAATTTGCAACATGGATTTTCTTACTACTCCTGATCATTGGGAGGCTATTGCTAATATCATTATTTCCAAAAGAGTAATACTTCTGAAGCTGTAGCAATCTGGAAGAGATTAGCTGCTTGGTTTTGGTTTTGCTTTTGCACATACATTATTAATTCAATCTTACCTGGCTCAATATCCAGGGAATAGCTGTCAATCTCCAAATTGAGGTGTTGGGCTGCAGCATCACAGAAATCTTCCAAAACGCAGTGTACTGCTTCCGTGATATTGTATGGCACTGTCCTGGCAAATTTTATTTTGCTATTCACAATCACACTTCCGTTCCTGAAGTTAAGTATTTCCAGGTGCTTAAAACCTGTAAGGTTGGACTGAAGATATGGAAGTAGCTGCAAAACAGAAATTTGCCTTTATTTTAACTTACTGTCAATGTCTACCGGTTATTAATTTCTCTTATAGTCACTTTTCATTTTCAAGTACACACATCACACACTTATTTCTCTGAATTTAATACAACTGTTAAACTCCACCACCAAATTCACTTTTCTGTTTAGCACTATCTTCTTCTGGACTTTTGCATCTTTCTCAATAATTTATTGAGATGGATGGGCAGCAATTTCCCCTGTAATGAAATGCACAGCAGTTGGAGAGTTTATTCATCTGGAAGAGAAAAAAATCACCTCGCTCAACAGCCAGCTTTAATTATTTTCAAACGTTCAATCCAGGCAGGTTAGGGCATAGCATAATAGGCATGTTACTGAGCTGACCTGCTGCCCTATTGTACCCATAGAGAAAATCCATATCTAATCACATTACCCCTGCTAAGCTATGATATATTTTAAAAGGCCTATTTTTAAATCCAGCATGTCGACACAAGCCTCAGATGTAATCTGCACTGCTATACTGTTGACATGAATCTAAGAAAGCCAAATAAATTACGTGCCAGGCATATATCTGGACTCTCTTGAACAAGAAAAAACTTTCATCGCTGACTTCATAAATTCTTTCTTCATAACCTGAGAGCATCCCAGGCTTATCGGTCCTTTAAAAATACAGCTTATCAGACCAAATTGTAGTAGGGTCTGATATTGTTAAAATACTGTGCTCTTCAGTGTATTTCTTTAAACTGTGCCCGACTACTGCATATGTTGTTCAAGTTGCTTTTCACCCACCAATTGCATGAACTGTTGTTCTAATGCTTTGTATTCTGTCGAACTCCTGTTGAAGAGGTCATCAGAAAAGTGCATGTTGGTTACCCTCAGGCTGAAGAAAACCACTAGCTCTTTGCCTTTGGTTGCGGTTGTCATGGAGCTGGTAGTTACATACTTCAGCGTAGGAGCTGGGGTGGCTTCTGCAGGCTCAGCTGTCAGCACTGAGATATAACCGCTGCCATGCTCCACTTCATCCAGTGCTGCTGTGCTTATCACACCGTCATCTAACTTGGCAGCAATATCCTGCACTCCTGTCCCGGTGCCATCGGGAGGAATGCTCTCAGATGCGGGCACCGAGGAATCTGGTACTTCAAGGGACTGTTTGATGATCTGAGAGTGGCTGTAGGATGGGCTGGTTTCTGCAGGCAGTGGTGCTCTTTGGTCTGATGGTAGCACGTCTGTAATAACATCTTCAGGCTGCGTGGTAGAGAGATCATGTGAGCCAATGAAGAAAGGCAACGTATCGTAAGTGCTGGCTGTAACTAAAATGTCATCGCCTGATGATTCTGGTTCATCCATGAACTTAACTGCTGCAGAAAAACAGAGAAAAATGAATAGCTATTTTGAAAAGCAAGCATAACAAACGTCAAGCATGGAAACAGCATGTATATTGTATTTCCGCTGAAGCATTTTTAAAAACAAGCTTTAACACTATCTAAACATGAAAATGTTATTTCCATCACCAAGGAAGGACTACCGGAATAAAACACCTCATCCACATGTTTGAGTGATGAGATTTCTGTGGGTGCTGTGTTTAAATAATAATTACACTTGGTAAATATTTCCTGAGTCATTCCAAAGCGTATTCTTGTTTTGAAGGTACATAATCACACTGTCAGTTTATATTGACTGAAAGAGTAGATCGCAGCTTTGAGCTGTCTGCTTGGATCACTTGCATGCTGGAGTTATTCTGTTCCCCTCTGAGAGAGGTTAAAGCTATTATTTGCCAGTAATCATAAAATGTGGTTAAGAAAAACAGTACAGCCTCTTCAGGTGCAAACTGTGCCAATTTACCTAAAGACAACAGCACCGGTGAAAACAAATTCAAACCTTAAGAAATCATCTGCTGCACCTGAAGCAGCCATTTGATCCAGATGCTGAACTTTTACGAGGTCCTTACTGGGTCTTGGCGTGGATCTAGGATGTGTGATACCTTGTCCTGGTTTCAGCAGGGATAGAGTTAATTTCCTTCCTAGTAGCTGGTACAGTGCTGTGTTTTGGATTTAGGGTGAGAACAAAGTTGATAAGGCACTGATGTTTTAGTTGTTGCTAGGTAGTGCTTACACTAGCCAAGGACTTTACAGTTTCTCGTGCTCTACCGACTGAGAAGGCTGGAGGTGCACAAGAAGCTGGGAGGGGGCACAGCCAAACTGGCCAAAGGGACATTCCATACCATGTGACGTCATGCTCAGTACATAAACTGGGGGAAGCTGGCCGGGGGGGGCTGCTGCTTGGGGACTGGCTGGGCATCGGTCGGCGGGTGGTGAGCAATTGCACTGTGCATCACTTGCTTTGTGTATTATTATTATTATTACTACATTATTATTTTATTTCAATTATTAAACTGTTTTTATCTCAACCCATGAGTTTTTTCTCACTTGTGCTCTTCCAATTCTCTCCCCCATCCCACTGGTGGTGGGGGGGCAGAGTGAGCGAGCGGCTGTGTGGTGCTCAGTTACCGACTGAGGTTAAACCACGACATAGCTGTAGCTGAGATCCAATTCTAAAGCATGATGAATGAGACTCTTTGAACATGGCTTGCAGCTATCTGGCCACAATGACTTCACAGAAAACGGTAGCCTCCAAGCAACAGACATCTACCCAAGCTGACAACTTTGTCCTTCTCCAGTGATAGATGTGGACCCCTCACGTGGGACTTTTAGCAGCCCCCTGCAGGCAAAATCACTTATCAGCTGATAGGAAAGAAGTTTTTCTCCAGGTGATGGACTCTTCAATCCCCTCCACACTAATTTCCTCCCAGTAGCCAATGAAAGTACCAAGGGAGGGCAAAGTTTTGCATTAGGAATAACCCTGACTGAAGGAGGTGGCAACCATCCTGTCCATGGCATAGGAGTTGCCCATGGATGTTCTTTATGTCCCTTTCCGTTTCCTTGCTTCTAAATGAATGAGGTCCAATCTTCTGCTTATTGTATTGCTGTTTTTAGGAAAAAATGTACATTTTCAACAAAGAAAAGCTTAATACTAGATAGCTGTCTATTTTCTTGACACTGTTAATTTCACAACACGTACTAGCTCTTTGCTTCCTCCCTGCAGATACAATGCCTTGGTCTAGTGTGGATTATTTTCTATATAGCCATAAATAGCCCCATTCTGCTAGGCTGACCACAAGACATGGTATGTGGTTTTACTAGAATTAGATGCTTGAAAAAAATTTTCTCCCATGTGCATAAACTTATGTTAAGAGTTGCTACATATATATTTTTTCCTCTTTGTCATTTGTTTCATTATGTAAGTTGTAGTATATGTATCGTGATTCAGTGATAGTAGTGTAAAAAGATAAATAAAACACATGCTCATAAAATAAAATAAAACAAGTTAATAATATAAAAACAATAAATAGTATAATATATATATAAAATTAATATATGCAAACAATAAATAGTATCAATAGATACTTTGCCATCCAGAGGGACCTGGACAAGCTCGAGAAGTGGGCCCGTGTGAACATTGTGAGGTTCAACAAGGCCAAGTGCAAGGTCCTGCACCCGGGTCGGGGCAACCCCCAGTCAATCCAGGGGCTGGGGGATGAAGGGATTGAGAGCAGCCCTGCCGAGAAGGACTTAGGGGATACTGGTGGATGAAAAGCTGGACATGAGCCAGCAATGTGCGCTCGCAGCCCAGAAAGCCAATCATATCCTGGGCTGTATCAAAAGAAGCATGGCCAGCAGGTCGAGGGAGGTGATTCTGCTCCTCTACTCTGCTCTGGTGAGACCCCACCTGGAG